ACGCCGTCTACAGTCTAGTGTCTACAAAATACAGCTGGTGATTTCAAGAAAAAAATACAATACATGGAGAGGGATTGTTTATTATTGTTGAAGATATGCCGTATTATAAAAATAAAAATAATGAAAGACGTAAAAAAGGCTTAGTAATATTAAGTTGCCGAGAAATATAAAGTAGCAGAGAGTGAATTTTGCAAATTTATGCGTGGTTGGGAGAAGCGACAAACTAAACGCATAGTTCAGCATTATCTAGGCAAGCCTGGTGTGCCGTCGGTTCTAGTATAATTAAAGTATTTGCCAAGTGAATTATTTATGAAGTTAACTGAATAAACGATGGCCGGGTAAGTCACTACCACCGGAAAAGATCGTGGAGAAACGGAAAAGTGTCAAGTGTAGAAAAATTTACCTTAATGTTGTAAAATAAAATAACTTTTGGCAAAGTGTCTGATGGCGATGGCTAACGAACAAAACTCCCGGTAACAACGTTTTACCTATACCAACATCAACGCTCACTAGCAACCTTCCTGGTTAAACTTTTGATCTAATAAATTTTAGCGATATCGCCCTGTCTTCGAACAAGACTAAAGACCTAAGACTTTAATCTTTGGTGTCATCTATTAATTGTTTATGTCATCAATTTTCATAATTTATTGCAGCCACTGAATATTTTATCCTCAAGTTTAGTATTTAATAAACAGAAAAAAAATTTTTTATTAACTAAGTTAAATCTTTGAAGGGTAAAGTCGCTTTTTAGACATTGTTTTTTTGTTTTAATGATTTTCTAATATGCAATAATTTTCTGTATGAAAGTTGAATAACAAAAATTATCTAATTAAAAAAAAAAAAAAATTCTCATAAAAATTTCAATTTTGCTTTGAGTCAGTTCGAATTAATTCAAGGAATTCACTTGCAAAAGAAGAAAATAAATATTCCATTTAAGAATTTTTCGAATTCTACAATGAACTTTGCTATTATCAAATAAAATAACCTATGTATCAATCAAAAATTTTATGTATCATAAAAATTGTCTCCATTACGTGTTAGAATGCGTTTAAGTAAAATATTTTTTTTTATTTTTAGCTATATTTAATATAGAAATTCTTTCTTCATACATAAATATAAAATTCTTAAAAAAAATTACATTATCCTTAATTTAATAAAATTGTGTTTTTCAATGTACAATTTGATTTTCAATTTAAGAATGTTTCTCTTGAATCAAGTAATTTTTTTCGGTGTCATCTTGCTTTTTTGATTAAAGAAAAGCCATTTTCAAAAATTGTGGTATCATTTTAGTGTTTGACAGTGTGTGGTATTTTCTGCACCAGAAATGAATTTAAAAAATGACGAAATCGATTTATTGATTCTCAGTCGAGAGTAAAGCATAGCCTTCATCAGTCATGTAAAAACTACATTCACATACTTCCATACATCTGATCTGAGTACGTGAGCTAGAAATAAAGTTTCTAAAATGAAATTCAAGAAGCACGTCTTATTTTTACGGACGTAATATTATGAAATCTGAAGCCACGTATCACACAAAAAATAGTATTAGTAATTTAAAGAAAAACCAGCGATAAGACATACTCACTGCTCCTTATGCACTGATTCTTCAATAATACTTTCACATATTATATTACCTCAATATACTTTAACACACCAATTTTATCGAGAGGTTTTTATCACCTACAACTGCCCTAATCACCGTAATTTACTGGAGCCCATTAAGCAAAATTTTTATTTTCTCAGTTGAGCCCGATTTTTTATTGACCGTTATCTGTTGAGTGTAGTCGCCGTGAAAAAAAAAAGCGACATGAGTATAACGCAACCGCTGGTGACTGAGAATGCACGCGAGCGCAAGGAGGTAAAAAAAGCTTCCAGTGAAGCAGGATAAAAAATAAAAAGATCCGGGTGGAGTAAAATAGTGAGGAAAATGCAAGTGTGAGGAAGAAAAATATAATGTCGGTAGTACGTCGACCAATGCATGCTGATAAACCTCTTTCAAACCCAATTCCTGTTTACTTCTTTTATTTATGTTTTCTTTTATACTCTTTATACCTATGGGAATTTAAAACTTGAAATAGCCTCCTACCTCTGCCCGGCTATTAGTCCGGCCCTCAACTCGATCCGCTTTTCTCACACCTTAAATCTCAGATTTATTGCCGATTAATTATTATTGTAGATCGTTACTGGTTTAACTTTAATCATCAATACAAATGAAATTTTTTGTCTTTAACAGAACATAATTCGACAGTTTCTATTATTAGTTTTTCAAATAATTTTTAATTTTCTTAGATATTTCTTTTCGGGACGATGACACAGGTTGATGAGATCAAACTTTTTTTCGTTGTCTTCTATTTTACAAGCGATTTTGAGTTATTCTAGGTCACTGACTACTGAAATGACATCTATTGTTTTGTACCAATTCTTGTTTTTTTACAAATCGATACTCACTCGGTTCACTGGACATGAGATAAAATTAAGTTTTCAAACTTACACTGTGGATTTTATCTGTAAAAAATTTTTCTTATATCGTCTGATATGTTCGTATTAGCCATATTAAAAATTTCGATTTATTCATATTTGGCCTAATATGATCCGATGTGTTCAAATAAAATTTTGATAGGTCCATTTATAATTTTTCAACTCAAGCGATCCGTAAAAAAGTTTTCTGATATGGTCGTGTATGAAAAAATGAAAAATTGATAAATTGTATGGCTAGATCAGGCCATATACGGCCAAATATGATCATTTTTTCAAGGGTATAGTTGAATAAAAACCATCAGCAAGATTTTTTAATGTTCACCTTTGTTTAGTTAAGCACGAAATATTTTAACCCCGTACATTTGAACCCTTCAGCATCTCGAGGATAATAAATGACGGGAGTTGATAAATTCATCACTGTGTCTTGGCGGATGGCTAACAACAAATATAATAATAACTTAAAACTTGGATCATTAAATTAAAATCAAAGCGTGTATTTAAGTGGTAGTATAGTAATTTTGCGGAAGGAAGGCGTTAGGCAAACACGGTTAGGAGATAAGCGGCCTGAGAATGAAAAATAACGACCGGTACGACTAACCGGAGTGAGAGTTCAAAGTTCGTAATCCCTAGCCAAGTTATGTTCATGCTCGACGTTCTGTTCACTACTCTAAGGTCTTGTTGTAATCACAGTGGTAGTAGTGGAAGAAAAGGATAGTGGTAACGGGTTTATGGGTGAGTCTCACAACATTTACACCGCTAGTCACTATAAGTATACATATATAATATATATTTAGTGCCTTGTTCGAGGAGTGAGACGCACCACCAGGAATAGGTTACGAACTTTAAGAAGAGTCAAGAGAGATGAGAACAGAATAGTCAAGTGTTGCAGAGTATGAGTTCTACCGACGTTGTAAGAGTAAAGTTGTGCCTCCGAGGATCTCTGACACCCTTTCTTCCACGTTACTATAGACGTACTGCTTTATGCTACCCTTGCCGCCAGCTTGTAAAGTTGGTAGTAGTGGCACTGATACTGCTGACGTCGGAAAACTAACCGGTGAGAGTTTCACCGGATAATTTTATTAGTTACTTACGCATTGTATTGTTAACCAACAGTGCATTATGTTGATGGGTTTGAATCAAATTCAGTCATTATGACTAACTTTAATTAATGACATTCAATTTATAATTCTTTCATAACTTATTTTATTAATCATCTACGTTTAATAAAGATAAACATTTTTTTTTCTATATGCTAAACTACTAATTATTTATCAACCATTACATCATGTTTGCTTTACATTAGAATTAGGAACGTCCTGAATCATGACTTGGGGGTTTTTCTGCAAGTCAACGTGAGCTACTTTATCAAGCAGTGTTGTAGAAGACAAATCTTCAGGGAAAACGTAGTCTTCATGTGCTTGAGTAGCATCGAACTGATAACCTTTGAAATCATCATCCGAGTGATGGCCATGATGTTCGTGACCATGGTGAGCATGGTGTTCTTCCTCATGCGCGTGATGCAGAGAATGATGATGACCATGATGATGGCCCTCGTGATGATCATGCTTGTGCTCATGTCCATGTTTGTGATGGTGATCTTCGTGATGTCCATGATGATGATCCTCATGATGACCATGCTTGTGATCATGATGGTGCTTATGCTTATGATCTTCTTTATGTCCATGCTTATGTTCTTCATGATGTCCATGGTGATGGTCTTCATGATGGTCATGCTTATGTTCGTGCCCATGCTTGTGATGATGATCTTCATGATGGCCATGATGATGGTCTTCATGGTGGCCATGTTTGTGTTCATGACCATGTTTATGATGATGATCTTCATGATGTCCGTGATGGTGCTCCTCTTTGTGTTCTTCTTTATGTTCATGACCATGCTTATGATGATGATCTTGCTTGTGCTCATGCTTATGTTCCTCCTTGTGTTCATGTCCATGATGATGGTGGTGGGATTCAGTTTCTTTGTGCTGATGGTGGTGGTGGTGCTCATTGATATGGTGATGATCGTGATGATGATGGTGCTCATTATGATGATTGTGTTTGTGATGATGGTGATGCTCGGCGTGATGTTTATGATCCTCATGATGCTCATGCTTCGAGTGGTGATGATGACCATGCTTATGATGATGTCCATGATCATGTTTATGTTCGTGGCCATGATGGGCTTCATGTTTGTGTTCATGTTTGTGCTTATGATCGTGTCCATGATGATGTCCATGATGATGGTCCTCGTGATGTTTATGCTTATGATCCTCTTTGTGACCGTGATGGTGATCTTCATGATGATGATGATCTTCATGGTGATCATGACCATGCTTGTGTTCGTGCCCATGTTTATGATGATGACCATGTTCGTGTTTATGATGGTGCCCGTGGTCGTGTTTCGAGTGATGTCCATGCTGGTGTTCATGACCGTGATGATGTCCATGATGGTGACCATGATGATAACCATGATGGAAAGTCGCACTCACAACAGTATCGTCAACTCTCGGTGAAACTTTTTGCAGGTTATCAGGAGTTTTCAAGCCAACAATAACGTTTTCCTGAAGCTTATTCGGAAGAAATACCGGAGGAAATGCAGGAACCGCAAAAGGACCTATTTGTCGCTTGTTCAAAGTTTTCTACAAGATTAAGAAAATTCGTATTTTTCATTATCAATCATCATCCGTATATGTCAGGTTTAAAGTTACAAAGTTAGTAATGCTTACCTCCTGGTGGGTTTGAGAATCCCGTATATCTGCGACAGCAGGTGCCTTCGGGGTCTCGGCGTCTCGTGTAACTCTAACCAAGTCATCCGCACCATTTGTCTCATCTTTGGTAGCCTGTCCCGTAAATTGTTGGTTCCTTGTACGTGGGTCCTGATATATCGCATCAGTAGTTCCAATCGCAAGGGCGAAACCAACCGACCTAGCAAAAGTAACGAGACTGCCAGCCATCGAAAGCTATACTGTCTAGCACCAGTGACTACTCTGTCGGTTGGCAATTTCCAATGCCAGTGAAATGCCATTTGCGGTCAATATACGTGAATATCAAGGCATATAAACCCGTAATTTGAACTTTAGACTGGGTGAGAGTCGTTGTATTCGTACCGACTATGCTCTCGGGGTACTCGCGGTCGTAATCGTGGTCGAGCTCCACAGTCTGTAAGAGTTCCCTAATCGATCGATCGCTTTATAACATGCGAACAGGTGGCGTTTTGACTTTGTTACACTCGACTTCACTTATCATTTATTATCGCTAAATCGTTAACCAAACCACCAACGTTTGCATTATTTTTAGTTTTGTAATTTATTTTATTCAGATGCTTGAATTTTTTATATTATTAGTTACTATGGTGGTGAAAAAATTACTTCAATTAAAAAAAAACTATTTTTAAAAAGTTATCTGCTTGATTCAATCCAATGAAATTCTTACACGGAAAAAAGTAAACTGTAATAAATAACAGTCGATTTATAATAAGTAATGATCAACTACTAAAAATTACCATTTCAAACAGTAAAATCGTGATTTTACTATTCACTTTATAATATTTACAATTTAAAGGTTACAATTTACTCTTTACATGGAAGGAAATACTATTTCAAACAGTAATATTCGCTATGTAAATGTCCAAAATATTAAAGTATAATAATTAAGAATTCAGACTTTGATATTTATCATTTCGTACCTAAAAAATGATCTTATGATATGTAAAAAGTATAAAATAAAGTTAGTAAATTTCTAATACAAGCAACGTCAATATTTACAAAGTAAAATGGTAAATTTTAAACGCAACGCTAAAAATCAAACTGTAGTTATTGACTTGCTTGAACTGATAAAATGTATATTTTAAAAGTATAATTTTTACTGTTTCAAATGTTAAATTCTCCCAGAGTGAGATCCCCTTCTCTTTCATCTTAGTTCCCTTTCTCCTGTTTGACAATTTTTACTGTTTGAAACTGTAACTTTTTAAGATGAAAGAGTCGTTATTTACTATAGTGACAGCTACTAATCACTTATTTTGGATATTAAATTATAAATTATGGCTTTTATACTTTCTACATTAAGTTCTGTAATATTTATATTTTTGCCACCCAGATGTCCGCTTTACTGTTTGAAACTATAAAAATTAACCGGAATCCGAGTGAATATTACAGTTTACTTTTTTCCGTGTAAAAATGATTTTCTTTGTCAAATATTTTTCTATCGAATCAAGTTAAATTTTCTATCGGTGCATAAATTCTGTCAATTAATACTAGTAGTAAATATTAATATTATCGTATGCAATTACTGAAAAAGCATCAAATTTAACGTCATCATAATTAAAATTCGTTTTAATCACATTAAATTCAATCATTTTAAAAAGTGGACATTGCAAATAATTTAACTGATTGGACCAAACACTATTATTTACAAAGTTATATTATAATTATAAATTAAAATATAACATTGTATATAAGGGAATTAAAATTAACTAGTACAACGCAACAGTTGAAATTCAAAAGACGAAATTCATTAAAGTAACTTTTAAACAGAAATATAAAAGACAACACAGAGTATGTAAATGCTGAGATGACATTTCCTTTGATAACATAAAACAGAGTGGGCTTACTTTGAGCTTATTTCCGTAAATGAGTACGTGACTTTTCGCCTTTACGTTTGTTTATTAAACTATTTCATCCCTTTTTATCTCTGGGCTTTAATTCTATTTAGTCATGTTATGTACAGATTATATGTTTGTTTCCTTTTAGTGCTTTTGTCGCGCGTCTCGTGTCAAAAAAACAATGTACATAGTATGCGAGTATACGAGTGGCTTAAGCACACGGTCAATAGCTTTGACAATCACTGCACTGTGTGCTGGAGTTAGGAGAATTTACGATATGTGTAATCCAAATCACATTGTACATACTACTAACCTGAGCATGTGCAACATGTCATGTGTGAACGTTAATAACCAAATTGACATCATCCGATCACAGCAATCAGTATTATCATTATCGTTACTTAAAGTCCAATCTTGTTAACGCGGGCATTATGTTTCTAATTACTAGTTACTCCTCACTTTATCATTATATAGGTCTACTCGTTCACTATAACTGAGGGAACATGTCATTTTTCATTTTTTATTGAAATTATTAATGCATATAAGAAAAAATTAACTTGACTCAAGAGAAAAATTCTTGAGCTAAAATCACCTTAAGGAGTTTGATTGATTTGAATCAAGATAAACAATTTTTTAATCAAATAAAATTTCTTAGTTCAAGAATTTTTTTTATTGATTGAAAAAAATTAAACTCTCTAAATTGATTTTCTTGGTTCAATAATTTTTATTTTAAATTAACTTAATTTTTTTTTAGTGTATGAAAATTTTAGGCAGTTATGAACTTTTTTCTACACAGAAAAATTCTCTTTTAGAGAACTAATTTTCTTGACTTAAGAAAATTTCTTCTCGCTTCAAAACAACTTAAGTCTTCCGAAAATTTTCCTTGGTTCAAGAAAACATTTTTTCTGTGCATGGAAAAAATTTATTTCAAACATATATAAAATATGAATTATTAGATAAAACTTTATGAAATTTAAATAAAAAATATACTTTTAAGAGCTAACTTTTGGCAGATTTTCGTATATATTCCAATTTTAATTAAAGTATGTTGAAAAGATCACTTTTAATTTATAAAAATATATTTTTAAAAATATAAAATATTTTTTTTTCATTTCGTAAATATATCGCATTTTACTAAAAATAAAAGCTCAATTTTCCGTCGAACAAATTTAAATTATCCATTGACCTTTTATTCAGCCGTTCGCCTTTTAACAAGTATAATTAAAATACTTCTATTAGCAAAAAATAATGTAATACAAAAATTGGCTAGCACGGATAATAGTTACAGCAGCGCGTATGGTGATAGCGATGAAAGTAAATGAATAAATAAAGTGAAGTAAATTGTGAAATATGATGGGGAAGGTATAGAACCTATAACTAAAATCGTTTTACTATAAATTTAAAATACATATATGAGGGCCACCGGGCTATAGACCTAATCGGGTATCGTGGTCGCGTGTACTCGGATGAATAACGTTATTGGTGCAACGGTTTGGTTCCCATTAGAGTATAACGCCCAGCATGTATAGAGTAAAGTGGTGTAGGACGTGTAGTGGATGGAATTTGAGTTTAAACTAGTATGGTGTGGTGCGGTATGGTTTAGTCGGAGCTGGGGGATCAGGATCGAGATGGGGGTGAGAAAATGAGAATGGGAATGGAGATCGAAATCAGAGAGAGGTTAAGGGTTGAGGCCTGGAAAGGAATGGGTATTTGGTTACCAGGGTACATAGACGCCTCTCGATGTATGGCCTAGCCCAACATACATAGTATACTGTGTTAGTTACAACTGAATGTGGCGCTGGGATTACTCGAGTAGCACCCATCATCGTGGTAACCCCATTACTACCAGTTTCAATGTTGAATTTCCGATTCCTGTCTCTTTATATCTACGACTGAATTTGTATATCTAGCTAACGATCTATCTATCTATTTATCTATCTCTCTGGGTATCTATCTAACTGTCTATCTATTTAACTCTACGAATAATGCACATGATTGTCGCTATTGAGTTACTGACCTGTTGGTTCGGTAGGGCAGACTGCAGCACAGCGGATGAACCTGGTCAAGTGCCTCAAGTCGGAGGTCTTTCCAATTTCGGAAGGGTAAGTTCAAGTTTTTTTAATATTTTTATTTCTTTGCTAAGACTACACAGAAAAAAAATGTTCCTGAATCAAGTATATAATTTTGAAGAACTTCATTTTTTTGATTTGAGTAAAAAAATTCTTAAACTAAGAAATTTTTACTGGGTTTAAGTAAATTTTACTTGATTCAAGAATTTTTGGTCTTGATTCAAGACAATTACTCTCTTCAAAATTATTTTCTTGGTTCAAAAATTTTCCTCTCGAATCAAGTTAATTTTTTTTTCAGTGTAGAAAAATTTTAGACCCGATTTTTTCGAGATTTTCGTATTTTATTTTTAGAATAAATTTTATACTTTGTTTTTGATTCTTAAGCGAAAAAAGTGCTATGGAAATTTACTGGGCCCATAACCTATTGTTGTTAATAAATAAGAGCTAGAGCTTCACTCTTATGAAACATTAATAATTAAAAAAAAAATTATTCGTAGTACTGATTAGTATTCAAAGTAGGGGAACAATATATTACACTCACACATAACCAAAAAATGAATTCATTTATCATGAAAATCGTGTAATATACTATTCAATTGTTGAATGAATTATCCCGTAAAAAAGTGAATTTATGTTTGACGAAAATGAACGAATTAAAATTTTTTTATGAACGATATTTGATTAAAAGAAAATGAAGTTATTTTGCGGAAAATAACATTGCAGTCGATTCAAGTAATATTATTATGGTACTACGCTCAATTACCCAACGATAAATTAACTAATTGAGAACATACTAAAGATAACACTAACATTATGAAGTTTTTTTATTCAATTGAAAATTATTATAAATTAATATTATTCATTTACTTGTTTCTTTTTTTCAATTATCGTTGGCAAACCTTGTAGGCATGATAAATTTTATTGATCGATAAAATATTAAATTTTGAAATTATTAAAACATGAGTTGAGACTGGTAAATATCTGGTAATGCCAATTTGTTTAACAAAATATTCAATCAATTTAATGTTACAGTTTTGGTCAGAAAATCTGTATTTACTTTACATTAAAATGAAAACATTTAATAACGTTGAAAACCCTTTTGAACTATAAAAAAATAGAAAGTTTTTTTGGGTTTCAACTTTCATCATTTGAATATCACTGAAATGTGTTATTTAAATTTATAATTTATAATTATAATTAATACCATCAAATAATAATTTTAAAATGGATAAAATGAGATTTAACGAACAAAAAGATGGCAAAAAAGACTTTGATTCATTAAACT